CCCGTGCCAATGATTTGTTCTCCCCTCCCTCTGGCTGTGGTTGGATGATTGTGCTGCAGAGGGGGGCGGCTCGGCGCTGCCTCCAGATGGGGACAGAGGGACCCTGCGGTGTGTGCGGGAGGTGGGCAGGGCACCGGCAGGGAGGAGGCAGTTCCCGGGGCGGGGGTTAGATCAGCTATTGGAGCACGCTGGAAAACCTGCTGTGCCCCTGCACAGCGTGGGCTGGTCCCCTGTTAGCGGCAGGGCTCAGCACCATCCTCCTCCTCCTCCCGAGCCCCAGAGCCGGGTGTGCTCCAGGGGAGTGCAGCAGGGGGGTGGGACATGGTTGGGACAGTCAGACACACAGAGCAGACTCAGCTTTCCCCAGGGGAAGGTGTGGAGGGGGTGGGAAACCCTTTGGGTTTAACCTGTGACATTTATGGTGTTCACCAAAAAAAGGCATTTCCACTTTTCACTTCCTGCACTGAAAATGTATCAGGGTGTAAACGCTGAGGTGGGTCCTGCTGAGGCATCTCCACACCCTGGGGCTCTGATGGAGAGGCAGCAGAGGTCACCGAGGCCCAGGAGGATCCCCCAGGGACACTGGGGAGGGGCAGGAGCTGCCACAGCCCATCCCACCTCACCAAAACCAGCAGGAGCCTGATCAGCACCTGAGGCCAAAGTTCAGTTTTCACAGGTCCCTGTGTGGTGTTAATGATGGAAGGACGTTTTTGATGGTTCCCTAAAAACCTGAGGACCTTTTGAGTGGATCACAGTAGCCTATAAATCACCCCCAATCCTCTTTTGTGGATGTGGCAGCACCACTCGTGTCTATAACCAGCTTCCAAAGGTTGTTTTACACACTGGCAGGTGGTTTTCACTGGGGAAGGAATGAACATAGCTGGTTCATTTCAAACAACAAAGGGAGATAATTGAGTTAAAGTCAGGAGCAGACAGAACTCTGGGGTTCAGGGGCTTGCTGAGTGTCCAGCTCTTCACGTGCAGAGCTGCTGTGGGAAGAATAACTCCACGTGTGCTTGGCTGGAATGATTTCTTGTTCCTGACTGCTTGCCGAAAGAACAGTGAATGTTTTCCTGGGGTGGAATGTACACTTTCTAAGCTGGATACATTTTAACGTTGAAAAACTTTGTGGATATGGAGCTTGTTGTAAAATACTCCTTTTGGTTTGTTCCTACCTTACTGAGGCGACATCGGGTAGTTCAGTTCCACACTAGATATTTTATGTTACACAAATAAATAGGGTTTTTTTCAGTAAAAAACGCTTTGGGTTGTTCTCTGGGGCTTTCAGGGAGGGTGAGGAACCAACCAGAGTTCGTGTGATGTTTGGAGCCCCTCCCAGGGTCGCGTTGCCTGTGAGCCCCCCGCAGGCCGGGGGGCACTGGCAGCAGCAGGCAGGCAGCTGGGCAGTGCCACACGGTGGCGTTTGGGGCTTGCTGTGCCCACCCACATTCCGAAATGACTCTTCCTCCCCGCGGGGTGAAGAGTAGGGGGGCCAGGGGGTGTGTCTGGAATTACTCTCTGAGCCCTTGGCCGTGCCATCCCCAGGAAGACCAAGCACCACGCAGGAGACGTTTGGGGACTGCTTTTATTGTGCAGTTTAGTCAGCCGTGGCCTTGTAGACAACAAGCAAAATTAGGCTGCAAAGAAAACTCCACATCTAATCCTTTCTGTTTGCTTCCTAAGGGGCTGTGTAAGGTCACAGGGCAGCGGCTCCTGCAGGCTCAGAAGAACCACCCCCTTTGCTCAAGCTCTGCCCTGTCCAGCGTAGCCCTTCCCAGCCCAGGGGAGGAGTGGGTTTGGATTCACAGCTCGGTGCTGGGCAGGATGTGCTCCTCCCCTCACAGCTCGGTGCTGGTGGGGGCAGGATCTGCTCCTCCCCTCACAGCTTCTCTTCAGAATAAGTGAAATCAGGCAGATGCTGTTTCACTGAACGGCTCCTCCTGAAGTGGGACCACAGCCCATTAGGTTTAGCACTAATCAGGGGTAAATTGTCTCCAGCCATTGTCTTCTTTGCACCCTTGGTGACACTCCTGTGTGGCTGTGGGACAGGGGAGCTGCCAGATAAAGTGAGGACCCTTTGGACAGCCAGCCAGGCTCCTCATTTTCCTCTGTCTGCCTTTGGTTTTCAAGCACACTGCAGAGGTGTGAGACAACAGCAGGCTGCCAAACACCCCCCACACCCCACTGCCACCCCCCTGCCCTGGCTCCAGCAGGGAAGGGGGGTTCCTGTCACCTCCCCTGTGGTGACAACAGGACAGGGCTGGGCTGAGTGACCGTGTTCTGCACTCGAGGGGAGTGCTGGGGTGGGAACCCCCAGCCCTGAATCAGGGTGACCTGTGGATGATGTCCACAGGCAGGTAGGAAAGACCTCCCAGCTTGGTTTCCACCCAGGGTGTGGCCAGCCTGGGGTGGGGACTGGTGAGGAGATCACCACCAGCTGCCCCTGCCTGGGAATGAACACCTTGTCCTGCCTCCAAGTTAGCAGCATAAAGGCTGGTTCTGCTCACAGGGCTTTGGGGGGAGGTTTTTCCTGGGTAGTGAGTGGGGTATGGGGGGATTTCCAGTGGCTAGAAGGACCCCCAACTGCTCATTGTAGGCAGAACCCCCCAGCAGTGGTGGGACACCAGTGCAGCTGAGGGCAGAGGGTGGATGTGTCTATAATAGTGATGCTGTTTGAGAGCCATGGCCACACAATGGGAGTTGGGCTGGTTGGGTGATTTGCTGCTGTCTCCACTGCATCTTGCACTGTGAGTATGTTCATCTTTTTGTTCCTCTGGTGGTTGGTCACCTCAGAACCCTTGGACAGGGTTTAAAACTGGAAGGAGGGGCCTGGCTTGTGTGCTGGCTGTTGATGATATCATCCTTCCCCTCAGGCCAGAAAGAAATTAAGTGATCACCAGAAGGCATGGGTGACCCCATCACGAGGTGTTGTGTGCTTTGCAAGGATGTGAGGACCAAGAGTGTTGGGCTAA